CTATATTTAATAGCTGGCTGTTGAGTGAAGAACTCTATGAAAAGTAAAATCTAGTGAGGTGGCCATTGCAAAATCTTTAAAGAAAGAATGATGATGATGTCCTGTGCCAGATTAGTGACAGTGAGGTGCAAAGACATGGTCTACTGTAAACAGCTTTCAGTGATGCAGTGAATGACTGAAGGAATCTGGGTATGAGAGAAAAAAATCTGCAATGGTATATATGTGGCATTTAGAGAAACCAAACAAAGGGTGAGACAAAGACAAATGTTAAAAACAACTCTTGAAAGCTGACCACAGAGCTGAGAGTGGAGAGAGGAGGACCACAGGTGTTTTGGGGACGGGAGAACTATAGTGGCTGTACTTGAGGGGGAATCCGATACCGTCAGAACACTAACAAGGATGCCAAACAATGATACTTTTTAAAACATTGACTTGAACAGCTAGGAGCTTAGAGCTGCTATTTACTGTGATAAGGAAACTCCAATTTTTGGGAGAAGAGAATATATTGTGTTGGAAAAGCCATTAAGGTAAGGAAATACACTGAGTGGCCATTTGGACTTTTTTTTTTTTTTTTTAAATGATTTGTCTGCCTTTTTATTGCCATCAGCAAAACCTGTGCCCTATTTGGAAAACTGAGTTTGCTATAGAAAGAAAAAGCAATGTTTAAAACTTGAAATGAAAATAAATGAGTCATCTAAAAAAGCTGTAGCTCTTTTAGCAGAATATGCCCCATCAGTAATCACATAGAAAATGGACAACTTTATATTCGAAGTCCCCTTTCTCCACAGTTCACTGGACATCACCCCTCTCAGGAGTGCTAAGATCTAACAGAAGATTTGAGACTCCTGGAGATGCTTCAGATTTTTATGACAGGGTGATGTCTGGTTGTCACAAAGGTGACTGATGCTCTCATTCATAGTGTTTTACAGTGTTTCAGCTGTTCCAGAGTATAAAATTCGGTTCTATTCATAAAAGGTTTTAATGCATTAGATACTTGTATAGGTAAAAACATGCTTTTAAATATCAAACAGAAAATCATGTTTTCATAGTCTTAATAAACATTTTTTTAAAATTCTATAGCTACTTAATAAATTGAGGACAGAATGAATGTATTTAGGACCTACCTTCTTTTACATATAAGCACAGAATTTGTTTGCATGCTTTTAAAGTAATTTGAATAGACTATATTATATTACATAACTATAGACATGCATGTAAATAAATGCATACACATACAAATGTACTCATTAAAAAAGTCAGAAATGAAAGATAGGCATTGATAATGTTTACGTTTCACTTATACCCAAATTTATGCATTATAATAGGCACAGAAATCTTACTGCTTCCTGCTGTCTTTTAACATCATAGGACGTGAGCATCTGCATGTTGGACAATAGTATTTTTAATAACACTTTCACTATTTCTAGTTTAACATTAGGACAATCTATGGATTTATTAATGACATGTTACATATAGTCATACATTTAAACATTCAGAGTAGTAGAAAAATGTATTAAAATTGTCATAAAAATTGGGCATCAACTGCAGTCTAGTTTATAACCTAAAAAGTTATTTATCATCAAATAATCAGACTCTTCTGATAACTAAGGGCTAGACATTGGCATATGGAAAAAAACAACAGCAATTATAACCACTGCTCCAAATTTGGCAGTTTCAAGCAATGTGGAAAGATAAAAAGTGGGTAACCCATGGTCAAGGGATATTATTTTATTTTCTGAATGGGCAGTATTTGTACTTTTGTAATAATGGTATATGAAGCAGTAGAGAATTACAGGATTAATCAATAAGATATGACATTAATACTCCAAGATATTTCTTCAGCAGCCACAGGCTACATAGCTTCTACTCAAATATAAGAGCTCAAAGACATTACCTTTGTGCTAATTTTATGTGAACAGGGGAAAATTAATCAACTTTGAGTGAATGCATACTAGCCCAAAGCATTCCATTACAGGACTGAAGAGAATAAATTATTTGAAGGGAAATATCACGTCAACTAAATTCCGCTAATTTCAAATTCACAATAAATTATTAAGTAACATATAACTCACTTTCCTCTGCTTGCTTTTTGGTCCAGTTATTTAACCTCTCTGAAACTGTTTCTATCTCTTGAAATGATAGTAATTACCCCTTCTTGTAACTTTTCTTTGAGATAACAAACTTACATGATATCATTTTGTCATTACTGTGTAACACCTCAAAATTTTATCAAAAACATTTAAAATTTTTATCTAACAGCAAATTGGAACTCAGTATCACATTTAAAGATGTGATGAGACAAAAAATATATTTTGTCCACAACAAATTTTAAACACAATGGATTATCATTATTTAAAATTATTCAAATGTAGGTATATGATAATTAGCTTTTAACTTGGAACTATAGTGAAATTATTCTTTTTATAAATTTTAACATTCTCCTTATAAATTTTAAAGGATTATTTATGAAAATAAAAACTTAAGAATATAAAGCAAATATTAATTCATTGAATAATATCTCTGGGAATATCTATTACAAGCTCTCATGCAGACAATATAATCTTAGGGTCCAAACCAAAAATAATTACAATTAAGAAAATATAAAGTTTTTTTTAAAAGAAAATACAAAGTTTTAAAATCTTATGCTCACAAAAGTCTGAAATTACTTGTATTTAAAATTAGTCATAAAATATGACTTAACCTGCCACATATTTTTGTGTATATATGTATTTTTTAAATTTTATTTTAGTTTAAAAATTTTTTTAAATTTTTTAAAATAATAGTTTATTTTTACACATTATTTTTGTGCCTTTTTCCATCTCAGTTGTAATCCCCATGGACTTCCCATCACCAAATCACCTGTGTGCTATCACCATAGTCCAGTGTACTCACTCCCCCACCACCCACTATTTTTGATCCCATTCCCCACTCTACCCCCATAAAATGTCTCTGCTATATAGTTGTTCATTATTATTATTTCCTGCCACCCCTCCCCCAGTCCTTTATGCTCCTGCTATGAGTGAAACCATCTGGTATTTCTGGTATTTTTCTTTTTCTTACTGGTTTATTTCACTAGGCATGATCCCTTCCAGCTCTATCCATGTTGCTGCAAAAGGCATGAGTTTATCTTTTTGATTGCTGAATAATATTCCATTGTGTATATGTACCACATTTTTTAAATCCAGTCATCTACTGTTGGGCATGTGGGTTGAATAAATGTCTTTCCTACTGTAAATAGAGCAACAATAAATATGGGGGTACAGGTGTCTTTTTGAATCAGTGTTTTTGTGTCTTTTGGGTAGGTACATAGGAGTGGAGTTGCTGGGTCATATGGAAGCTCCATTTTTAGCATAAACTGTCATAAATTTTATGGAAATTGAATCTCATAGAAAGTAGATTCTTTGCTATATATAAAATAAACAAGCCATTTTCATTTCCTTCCCATTATTTAAGAGCAATTTCTCTTACATCCCAAACTTTTAGTTATTATGTAGAAAGGAAATCAGCATAAATATTTTTCCTTCACTCTTATTTACATTTGTTAAAATTGTGGGAAGTTGTTAGAACACAAGTAAATTCCTTACAGTTGGGCACTTTTGCTTTCTATACACCACAGGCCTTTTTAATGTTAGATTGAGGAAGTACAGTAACAAATATGTTTTTTTCTTTTTATTACTCAATTCATTCAGTATTTCCCCAGTATATAATGTCACAGAACTGCTCACTCAGAGTCTTAGAGTCAGGCTAACTGGTAATTATTTTTATGGCTTTATGAAGAAATATGAAATATAAACAAAGTGTTAAGTAGAGTGATTAAATAACACTAGCAAATACCTACTGGCTTTATTTTGGCTTAAAGTGACAGCAGCTATGAATAAACTGAAAAGGTAACAGAAAGGGGAAAGGACTAAGGTTCACATTGTTCTTTAGTGGTGTGAAAACAAAAAATGTACTGAGTAACTGATGCAACATATAAAATTTCCCTTAAAGCAAATGAATACTTGTGGACAAATTTGCCCTCTATAGGGAAAAAACAAACTTTAGCTCAAATAACTTTAGACACTTGGTCATTGCAAAAATTTCTTGCAACTGTTAAGAATGTAACTTATTAACTTAGGGAATATTTTTATTTCATATAAACATTAGTATGTGACTCAGTACAATCAACCTGTGCATTGTTTTTATGCTTATTAGTAGATTTCAGAATATACTTTTACCACTTCAAACTGGAGTCACAGCTACTAATTTTCAAAATTTTTCTGATAATTCAAATTTCATTTATCTAATGCTAAGTCTTCAGAAAGGAGTTGCAGAATTTAGTTATGCTTTGTGAAAGTAAATTTGGCAAAAAGACATATATAGACAGACACATGGATCCCCATTATTAAAATATCAAATCCAGAGTTTTCTGGCTAGAATTACTAGTTAATTTCTCTGAAGGAGTCTCTTCAGTGCTTCTTTACATGGTTAATACCTCAGCTCGAATTTCTGTGAATCCTTGATTACTTGCACCATTAACAAAAGCAGAAAATGAAAATGGGATTCACAGAATCTTTTTTTTAAGTCCTGATTTTAATAGTAGTGTCTACTAGCTTTAAGAGGCAAATGATCAGTTAAATGTAATCTTAAATTGATAAGCACCAACAGAAGTAATGAATAGAAAAGGACTGCAGGGATTTAGAATTCTGCCTAAACAAGAAGTGATTACAGTACATGCGGCAATCTAAGGATAGTAGTTTCATATCATTTTCATACTAGCACACATCATCATTTTTAAAAGCGAATAAGAGTTCTGAAGTTTAAAATTAAAATGTTAAACTTCCTTAAGTACTAAAACAATGCAAATACTACTACCATATATATATATATCTTTAGATTAGTTATATAGGATAATTATTCTTCTAAAATGAATGACAAATACCTGTCTCCTCTACAGTCCAATTAATAGTTATTATTCACTAATGTCTAGGTCATTTTTCTCCATCTGAAGATGATCTCACCTTGCACTTTGGACACTTTTGGGCATTTCTCTGCCCATGTTCAATTTCACTGGCCCAGTGACGCAATAATTTGTCTCCTTTCTTGTACTCTTTGCAGTTGACACCTTCATGCCAAGGGGAGTGGCACTTAAAACACCAGACGAATTGGCAAGTGGGGCACTGGATCTGTGTGAGGAAAATAATATTAGTGGATATAGTGAAAGTGTCTAAAAGGGTAAGAATGATGATGGGGAAATTGTTAAAATCTTTCCATATTTAAGTATATCCACCTACTCGAGACCTGAACTACAAGATAGGACAATTTTGTTATTAAAGAAGGAAATCATGACTTTGGCAAGGGTGATGTAGCTTTTTGCAGGCTGTATTGAAATCAAATATTTTGAACATTCTGGAAATCAGTTTGTCCCAGGAAAATCTCCTTGCAGAAAAATGAAGCACAAAGTATAACTTGTAATTTTACAACACTTCCAATTCATATACCAGGGCTGCCACCCTTAAATTCATTTCTACCTTGAATCAATTTCTCAGGCATTTCCATTTTTCTTCTTATCACTGACTTCATTTGACAACATCAAAGCTTCACAGAGGCTTTCAAATGAATAACACACTGACAACTAAACTATCCTGCCAGCATTTGCTCAAAAACTCTACCTGAAAGTAATGGATACTCTGATTTGTGATTAATGTAAGAAAGGTGAACTATAAAAATAACATCAAGGATTCCATTGCTAGAAATAGATCTATATGATGTTTCTGTCCCTTGTACCCAGGAAAACATGAGAAAGATGTCTTCTTATTTTTATTATGTGGATGTATATAAGCGTGTTGTATATGTTCACTGAAAATATCTGCCTTTTATTTGACAGGGAAGATACTGCATCTGACTGCCTTAATTTCAAATGGTGACAATGGAAATATGATATCCATGCAGTATTTCTGGTCCTCACTCTTTAAAAACAGGCATAACCTTTCCAGTCCTGTTTGATTAAAATAAATTAATTTAATGTTTCACTATGAACAACACTGATATCTGATTACCTTGCATATTGCTCCTCCAACATCAGTAAACATACTGTCTACTTTTTGAAGATTATAAATTCTTTGGGTTAAACTGTAAATAACATCACTACTTAGTTTTTTGGATATTTTGATGATGATTAGAATAGATAGCTTAACTGATTGGCAATTATAATCACAATTCTTATATTTATAACTCAAAACACTGCAGTTTTTGTAGTAGTGTCCTTCCTATGCAAATATAAAGCAACATATAAATTTACCTTACATAAAAACAAAATGGTGTTTTGTCATAATATTGTAAACATCATGGTTATTTAATGATGGATTTGCTGTTACATGCCACTGTTTATTACATGTATGTAATGATTTATTAATGCTGTGTTACAAGTATTATTTATTTTAATTAAAATACGCTGAAAAGTAAGTATGAACATCACAGGTATAGATACGAGGAAACAAAGGTGCTCAGAGATTAGATAACTTGTCCAAAATACACAACAAGACTGTGTTATGAAGAAATTTAAGTATTCTTTTTATTTTTTCAACATACTTCTACATGCTAAAACAGAATCAGTTAAGTATTAAAGCTTAAAATATGAAGTCAAATTTCTTGTAATTGAACTATTTAGTGAGTTGAAATTCTGTATGATCACATGCATAAAAAAAATTTTGAAAATCCTTCTCAAGATTTTACTAACATAATTTAAGAGATTCCCTGGTTTAAAAAGTGGGTTATTGCTATTCAGTCCTATAAAATAGTAATTTTTGCTTTTACTGACCATAAAAAAATAAAGTAATTCATTTTGAAAGTAACTGTGATTTGAAGTAGGTGAGCGCCAGAGACCAACACAGTATAAAGTGGTCATTCCCTTACGATACAGAACAATAAAGAATAGATGTAAATATCACATGAACACAATTTTTGAGTATGATAAAAAAATGGAGAAATGTAAGACACTTTATTTTCCTCATGCATCTGCCATTATTATCAGAGTTTGAGTACTTAATTTGCTTCCCTTCTATTAAACATTTTTTATAACTCCACGGACTACTATTTTACTCAGTCAGTCTCAGATTATATTTACAAATTGAATAGAAAGACGAAGTATCCAATGAAATGAACAGAAGAATGAATGAAATGATGATCTGAAACAAGCACTCCTGCTTTGCAGGTCGGATGTAACAGCTCAAGGAGCTACAGGATCAGAGGCTGAATTGCCATTTCTATTACACTCTAGTGAAGATAATTAGAAAAGTGGACTGGAAACTACCAGAATGATAGAGTATTTGTTATTGATGTCCAGATCAGGGACTCTGGCATTCAATTTCTCATAATAAAGAATAAAATCCCACATAGCTCTAACTGCCAGCCCTTACCAACAACACAGATGTGGTAACACACGGTGAGTGGAGTTTTGTGGCAAGCTCTCAAGTGAAGAGGAATAATTTAAATTCAGACCATACTGCTTACCATTCACTGAACACATCAAAATACACATTTTTATTTATCTTAAAATAACAAAAGGACTAAAAACCAAGCCCAACAATGTAGTATTCAGAGACTGCTCCTGAACTGTCCAAATATTCACTTTTTGATCTGAAGATGCTTTCTTCATTCTTAACTTGAGCGCATTGAAATTTGGCCTTATGTTAAACACATAAGGCAACAAAGCATCTTCCAATCCACTCCTATATTCTTAATCCTCCACATGATGTGCCATTTCACAACCTCCCACGTGGAATGCCTGTGTCTGAGTAATTATATTCACACTGGTATCCATGCTCTGTCAGTTTACTCAAAGTGAAGAGGAGGAGCAGCAACATCAGCATCACCTAAGAGCTTAGCTTGTTGAAAGAAAGCATTCATGTCATTCCCCAGACCTATAAAATCAGAGTATGAGCTTTCATGTGGTCCTTGCTGATTGATATGCTTACTAAAGTCTGAGAAGTGCTCTTCTACCCCATGTGACTCCTGACCACAATTGATTAGTATCCATTGGCTGGCAAGCAGCCTATGAGGTGGCTGGCAAAAACTATGCAATGAGGTGCACATTGCTGAATAAAGATTAGCTGAAAGATTTCTGGGGTGAAATGCAGATATGTATAGACTCTACCTTTGCCGTGGAAGCAAAGATAAAAAGCATGAGTGACCATCTTGCAGCTCCCTGGAGATGAGAACAGTGGTGTTCATTTCTAACGAGCCAACAGAAGGACTCTCATTCTACCAGAGTTAATGTCCAATTCTCCTCAAGAATTGTCTGGTGGCTACTGAGACTACTTCCTGACCTTCCTACTTAGTTGGAGACAGAGCTCATTAACTGAGGCAGTTTAAGATTGCATATCTGGGCTTCTTGTAACTGGAAAAATTCCAACAAACACAATCCATTGAAATCTTCTACAGATCAAATGCTACTTGGTTCAAGATATCTTCCCTATTCCTCCCAGACACATTCAATATCTTATAACATTTACATTTGACATGCAGATGCCTAATTTCCCTACAAGTGTACTGAGGGCAAGTGCTGTATCTTTTTCATCCTGTATTTCCTTAGTTAAGTATCTAACATTCTGGCACATGGTAGGCAATTAGGCAGTTCTTTGCAAAATGAATTATTTTGCACATAGCAGATACTACCTATTGGCTAACATTAAATGAATTCAAACAAGAATGAATATATTTGATTTGTGATTGGCGACTGATTGTTTCACTGCCCAAGATTATCAGGTGATATTTACTAAATATTTTATCCACATAACAGTTCACTGAGCATCATGATTAATATGCAAATTATTCTATAACAGCAGGACCAAAGTGTTTCATGAATAAATTATCAAGGGTAGAAATCTTTATTAATATGCCATTAATACAACAAAGAAAATAATTTTATGTTATACTGTGACTTTTGAATTCCCATTAACTTTTCAGAAATCTGGGCTACAATGACAACCTACTTATCTGCCCTAGGCAAGTGATATATTCCCTTGAAGTTCATCATGACAAATAAAAACATAACCTACAAAATAAAAATAGTTCAAAACAAAAGGGCACCTCTTTGCCTAAATTCTATATTATCCTACATACAAAGTCTTTAAGGAAATCAAAAAGTCATTATTTATTAACTCAAAATATTAGGAAACACCCACACTTAAATGTGGCCCTGCAAATATAAGAGCTAATTCATTTTCCAAAAAAGAATTTGCTTGACTACAACTTTGGATTCATGTAGATGCTCAAGAAAGAAACATCCATCGATTCATCTTCATTTACAAATATTTAATGAGAACTTGCATTGAGTATACTGATTTTGGGCAAAAGATATAGAATAAAAACACTTGTTCTTAAGGACTTTCAAAAGGCAGACAAAAATAAACACAGAGAACTATGAAGTCAGGCCCTATCTGCTAAAATCGCAGCTTGGGCAACCAAGCATGGGGAAAGACGCTTCAGGGAACATCGCAACAGGAAGGCTCAGATAGAATATAGCATGAAAGATGAGTAGAATGTCATTGGGATAAATGATGGGACAAAGCTTTAGTCAGAAGGCCCGCTTGGACCACCATAAAGAGACTTGTGGATACCTGGTGTACTGGGGAAGTAGCAGTTGTTCTAGTGCAGCTGAATCAGCAATGGCACTTCAGCTGACTGATCTTGAGCCTTGCTGGATTGTCCAATAAAAAGGGTCCCTTTAATCATGCATTAATGTTCATATACTACTGATGTATCTTCAAACTACACTGTGATCCAGAAACCCTTTAGAGGAAACACGTAAAACTCATGGCTGTCAGCCTAGCACGAGGGTTAAAGAAATGAATCAATATGTAAATAAGAGAAATTTAATAGTCACACATAGTTTCTAAGAACTTAAAACAGTTTTTTTATGAAAGGACACAGTTGTGAATAAGTGCAGAGTATTACTGAGAGAAAAAAGGAAATCCTTCATGCATCAAAAGCTTCAAGTATTCTTGAGATGTTTACTCTCTGCTCCTTCATAAGGTCAAATACTCAAGCAAGAATGGTAGTGGAGGGAGATGGTCTATATGGGAAAACATGATCTGAGGTCTTGTTCTGATGCTTATTCCCTAAGATAGCACCTCTGAATGTAACAAAAGAAATAGCTCAAAAGAAAGGAAATTATTTTATAAGT